TTAGATTCATATAACCTTTTGTGACCAGGAATAAGAAGCCCAAAAACTGAAGTGGGAAGACATGGAATTGAAATCCATGTGTGTACTGAGGGACTTGGGTTGTCACAGTCATTACAATCCACCATTGTTTTTGCTTGATGGTATGGGGTATATTTGTGAGTGCTGATACTACTGGGAATAAAAAAGGAATGGATTATGCATTTCTGGCCATTCCAGGAAACATTGTATGAATACATTACTATTGAAGATGCATATGGAATGTGTAGTGTTTAATTTTTGCTTTCTCCTCTGTGAAGCCAAGAGCGAGCTGCTTTTGGCCTATCTCATGTACCTAAACCATGTAAAATCTTTACTAAAGGCCAAGCAAATTTAAATTAGAAGTAGAAAGGAACAAGAATGCTTGAGGTTTCAATGTGACTTGAATTAGTAAGCTGTGTTTCTTTGCATTTTCCAAGTCATCCTTTGAAACTCTGAGGAAAACTGTAAACTTGATAAAGTGAGCCCCATGCTTGCAATTTTGCACATAAATTCAGAAAGTCAGTTCCAGGAGTAACTGAAGCTCATCCTCAGGTCCAGGTGAGGAATTCTTCTGCCTTACGCCCGTCCCTCAAGTTTGCCTGATAACAAGAGTCAGCTGGGGCACTTGTTAAACTGCAGTTCCTGGGTCTCAACCCAAACCTACTGAGTCAGAAGCCAGGGAAAATATCTGGTAATATTGTTACTAGAAAATACTACCGATTCAGACCCCAAGAGAGGGTTCTTGGATCTTGTGCAAGAAAGAATTCAGGGCAAGTCCATCAAGTAAAATGAAAGCAAGTTTATTAGGAAAGTAGAGGAATAAAAGAATGGCTACTCCATAGAGCAGCCTCGGGGGCTGCTGGTTGCCCGTTTTTATGGTTATTTTTTGATGATATGCTAAACAAGGGGTGGATTATTCATACCCTTTTTAGACCTTATAGGATAACTTCCTGACGTTACCATGGCATTTGTAAACTGTTGTGGCGCTGATGAGAGTGCAGCAGTGAGGAAGACCAGAGGTTACTCTCTTGACCATCTTGGGTTTGCTGTTTTGGCTGGCTTCTTTACTGCAATGTTTTTATCAGCAAGGTCTTTATGACCTGTATTTCGGGCTGACCTCCTATCTCATCCTGTGACTTAGAATGCCTTCACCACCTGCGAATGCAGCCCAGTAGGCCTCAGCCTCATTTTTACCTAGCTCCTATTTAAGATGGAGTCACTCTGGTTCACATGCCTCTGACAACATTAAACAATTGCTCTAGAGCAGCACTGTCCACTAGTGATGTAATATGAGCCACAAATGCAAGGCATGTATATAATTTTAAATTTTCTAGTAGCCCCATGAAAAAAGTACAGAGACACACATGAAATTAATTTTAATAACACATAACCCAGTATGTCCAAAATATCTCAACATGTAATCGGTATTTTTTTATTTTTAATTTTTTCGAGACAAAATTTTGCTCTTGTCACCCAGGTTGGAGTGCAATGGTGCGATCTCGGCTCATCACAACCTCCGCCTCCCAGGTTCAAGCGATTCTCCTGCCTCAGTCTCCCAAGTAGCTGGGATTACAGGCATGCACCACCACACCCGGTTAATTTTGTATTTAGTAGAGACGGGGTTTGTCCATGTTCGTCAGGCTGGTCTTGAACTCCCGACATTAGGTGATCTGCCAGCCCCGGCCTCCCAAAGTGCTGGGATTACAGGAGTAAGCCACCGTGCCTGGCCCCTGTAATCAGTATTTTTTAAACTAAACAGATATTTTACATTTTTTTGTGTGTTGTCTTCAAATTCCATTGTGCATTTTACACCTACAGCACATCTCAGTTTGGACCAGACATATTTCAAGAGCTCAGCCAGCCACCTGCATGGCTAGTGGCTCCTATGCTGAACACAGGTCTAGAGCAGCTGTTACTTGGCAGTGATTTAGCGTTTCTTTGGGTCCTGATGAGTGATGCTGAAGTCGCGGCTCTTATACTGCAGGTGTCTGCCTCACTCAAATGAAAACAGATAAACTAACCCAAATTTTAGGCTTAAGTCTGCAGTTTGGCCTTGTCTTTGCATCTTTAAATAAATGAGCATCATAGTTCTTTCCTGGGGTTTCTCCCAGCGGTTCACTCCCATTCCCTTCTAAAGGTCAGGCAGTTCTGAGCTCCCAGCAATGGCTACTCCCCACCCCTGCCACAACCCTAAGCTGGGGTTGGCCTGGGTCTGAGAGAGCCTCTCCTTACCTTCTGGGGTTCTGTCCTCCTTTGGAGCCTGCCAGATCCGGAAAGCTCCCTCTGGTCCCCTGAGGGCCTGCGTGCTGGGGAAGGAAGCCTTTTGTCTTGTGGAAGGGCTGGGATTTCCACAGTCTCCCTGTTGGCTGAGTGTGGATAGGACTGGGGGAGGCAGGGGATTTGACTGCTCTAGGTAGCATCCCAGAGTTTTTTGTTGTGAATTTCTTACTGAGTTTGTGGTTACATTTTTAACTCTCTCCAGTTTTTTTTTCCTTTTACACTATTAATCAACATTAGAATGAAAGATAAAGGGTTCTAAATGGTAATAAAATATAGGGCAAGAAACCCTTCCCTGCTCTTTTTAGCTGGAGGGAAGCAGGAGTCCCTGGCTTCCCTCTGCTGGAGGAGGGCTGCTGGGAAGGCTGAGGAGGTGCTACGGGGGCGGGTGGGGAGGAAGGGAGCTCCCCTCCTGCAACACCATCCTCACTGCTGGTAGGAAATGCAGCCAGATCTGAGATGTCCTGGAGGCTGCTAGGGCCCAGGAGAAACACACGCTCCTTCCGGCTTAGCCTCTCGGGTAGGAGGACTTACTGAAAAATGAGTTCTGGGCTGACGGCTGGTTGCTAGACTTTCGTTAAAGATCCTGCCTCTTCCATCCTTTCTCCCAAAAGCAGGCCTGGATTTTATGTTGTAATTCCTTTCTTCATTGATCAGTTTGGAGACCTTGACTTACCTTTGTCGTAGCTAAAGCCAGAAATGTACAAGATTAGATATATGAAGAGCCAGGAAAGGAGAACCAGGGTCTGAACCATTTGGGCACCAGAAAGGAGCCTTCTCACCTGAGGTCACATTCCCATGCCATTCTTATACGACCCTAACTCGCACTTTACACAAAACATACAAAACTGTAAAAATATCTGGCGATGCAAAAGTGAGTGAAGTAGAAAATGAAAGCCTCCCGTCAACCCCCTTCATGAGTTAAGCATTGTTGAGTTTGTGTTTCACCTTCTAGTCTCTTACTACAGTGTCAGATATTCACACTCAGCTTTTCAGTTTTTACAAAAATGGCATCTTTACAACTCACCCTTTTTGCTTAATGTATCAGATATCCTTCCAAGGCAATGCATGACCATCTGGTTTTGAGATGGTCTCACTCTGTCGCCCAGGCTGGAGTGTAGTGGCAGGATCATGGCTCCCTGCAGTCTTGACCTTCTGGGCTCAAGCGATCCTTCCACCTTAGCCTCCTGAGTAGCTTGGACTACAGGCATGACCCACCATATCTGGCTAGTTTTATATTTTTTGTAGAGATGGGGTTTCACCATGTTGCCCAGGCTGGTCTTGAATTTCTGAGCTCAAGTAATCGACACTTCTCAGCCTCCCAAAGTGCTGAGATTACAAGCATGAGTCACTGCCCCCAGCCCTCCATCTGCATTTTAAAAATATTTTTCAAGCAGAGCATTTCAGTAGCATGGGTAGGCTGTGATTAACCAGTTCCCTGGTTGTCTCCCTTTATTAGGCATTATTGTAACCAGTGCCTCAGTGAATCCAACTATAAGTGATGTATCTTTAGGAACTGTGCTCCTGATAATCACTGTAAAATCAATTCCTAGAAGTCAAGTTGCTTAGTCAAGGGGCATGTTCATTATTTTGCTAGATCCTACCCAATTGTCTTATAAATTAATCATGCAAATTTACATTCTACATACAGTGAGTCCTTTTTAGAGGAATTCCTTCCCTAAATCCTGGTTTCTTAATATGTCCCAAAGAATCAAATACATTACCTTCAGTGAGTTGTTCTAAAGCTGTTTTAACAGTCACTAGAAGCTGTCACCCAGGCATGGTGCTCAGCGCTGGGAGTTCATTGGGGAACCAAACCAAGTAAGGTCCTTGCTACTCTGGAACCAGACATGAGCACGGGGGAGCCTGATGGCTCCAGCACATAATACACTGACATAGTGCTGAGTGTGATATTAAGTGGAGGAACACTGTGCATGTGATAGAGGGATCTTGGAATCACAGTCGTCAGGAAGGCAGTGATTAGTGTTTCCCTGCTGGGTCTCATGGGAATTAGAGGAAGGCAATGAGCTGACTGGACACTGGAAACCTCCCTGAACTGACTCTAAGTCAATTAGCTTGGGTTACCTTACCAAAGTGGTAGAGAGTCCATAGAACTTGAAGCTGCTTTGCCTATGGAGGGCAGGTAGTCAAAAATGCAAATGTAATTTCATGGGAAATAAGGACCCTTACAATGAGAAGAGTATCGTATCTATTCCCTCTACCAATTTTTGTTTTTGGCAAGGTGTGATCATGTTGGTCTCAATGAGTGGGGACCTGTTGAAGGTAGGTTGCTGAATCTGAGTGGTTCAGGAGATACTTAGGACACTTGAAAAAGAAAGGGATGGAGACTGAGATGGGGGTTTGTAGTCAGGCTGCACTCATTGCTGAGGATCTGGTATGCCAGCAGTAGAAAGAAACTTCTAGATTAGCTAAAAGACTAGAAACAGAAATTCCTGTCTTGTTTCTTTGACACATGAAGATCTTTAAAAAGCCCTTACCATTGAAGAAATGGGTTAAATCTGCATTTGAGAAGGAATTCATTCAGGTGACAGCAGCGCTGCTGGGCCCTTTAGTATCTTTTCTCTCCCTTGCTTTTAGGCTTTGCAAACTAAACCTTCCTCTTCCTGTCACCACTTCCCAGGTAGTGGGCAACTCCAGCATCATCTCAAACTATTCCTGGCATATTTTGTCTCTCCTTGATACAGAGAAAAGAAGTTAAAGGCCAGAGTTCAAGAGCTGGTGAGTGCCTTGGAGAGACTCACCAAGAGCAGTGAAATCCGACATCAGCAATCCGCAGAGTTCGTGAATGATCTAAAGCGAGCCAACAGGTAAAAATCTCCCTATACCCAGCCCCCACCGCCCTCCACCGGTGGAACTTGGACTGACACCCCGCATGTAGACAGCACCAGGGATGGACATTTCCCTAACTCTTGAGAACTAACTCTAGAGAGTGGGTGAGTCCCTACCTGGTGCTCTAAGAACCTGGTCTTCCTTAGAGCGACATCTCCCAAGATGTTCATGGAAACTAAGAAATGCTCAGTAACAACATCCTCTGGCCAAATGTAGCACACTGTGGTATGTGCCTCCTGATATTATGTATCTTAAGGGTTCTGAGAAGTCATAGAATAAAAAATCTGTTTAAGCAGTATTTTCCAAACAAAATTGGCTATGGAATTTATTTGAGCAACACAATCTCCACTGGAATACTTTAGGAAATACTGCTCTAAGACTGGGCTCAGGACTCTTCTCTATAAAAAACGGAGGACCTCAAAGAGCTTTTGTTCCTGTAAGTTGTATTTATTGGTACTTCTCATTGTTAGAAACTAAAACCAAGATAAATTCTTTAAAGTTTTTATTTCATTTACAAAAAAAAAAATGGCATTTTTATGAAAAACTATTTTCCAAGAAATAATTAGAAAGTGGCACTGGTCTTACAATTCTGCAAATCTTTAACGTCTGGCTTAATAGAAGACAGCTGGGTTCTGACGGTTGCTTCTGCAGTCAATGTTCTGTGGATGTCTATTGAGAACACCTGGCATCATCCAGCTCTATAGTTGGAAATAAAAGCTCAAGACCTCACAGACCTCCTGAATGGGTTTTACAAGTCCCTGGGGTGAGTCCTCAAACTGCCTGGCAGAACAGCTATAAGAGTAATGACTGTACATGGACTGGACCCACCAGGCTCTGGTGGGGGCAGTTCAAAAGCCTAATGTTTGGCTTTGCAGCATTGGCTTATGGCCTAATTTAATACTCTGAGTCCCACCAGCCCAAAGCACAAAGGGAAGCTGAACAAGAACAGTCTCTCTGCTGTCATCCCAGGTATGGTCACTGATTGCAGTGCCTCAGGAATACACTCCTGTAAGGGTATATGTTGCAAGCAACTATGGAGGAACAAATAGGCCCACTATTGGTATTCATCCATTTTGGACTTGGCCAAATTGGATTGTTGGTTTGACTCTTAGAACCCCTTCTAATATGTGAGAGTGACCAGCATCTAGCAATCCAGCTGGTTTCATCAGGGTTAAGCCAGTAGGTGACTGGCCATTGAGTGTTGACATCCTGATGCTGTCCCTCCTCTCACCACTAGATTTCAGATTCTTACCGAAGAGGCTGAGTGATCTATGAATCTTCATACTAATTTCCCTTCATTCCCACCTAGCAACCTGGTGGCTGCCTATGAGAAAGCAAAGAAGAAGCATCAAAACAAACTGAAGAAGTTAGAGTCGCAGATGATGGCCATGGTGGAGAGACATGAGACCCAAGTGAGGATGCTCAAGCAAAGAATAGCTCTGCTGGAGGAGGAGAACTCCAGGCCACACACCAATGAAACTTCGCTTTAATCAGCCCTCACGCACCCAACTTCTGCCGTGGGAAGTAAACTGCAGCAGGCCACTGAGGACAGAAGGGCCCATGTACTTGTTGGGAGGAGGAGGAAAGGGAAGGCTGGCAGGTAGGTTGGCACTTGGACAACGGAGTGCCGCAACTCAGCCCTTGGGGTGGACTGACCATGGTGACACAGTGGACTGTATCCAGAGGTGCCCACTCTTGCCTCCCTGGCCCACAACAGCATGTCAACACATGTTCTGTGCCTGCTCAGCAGAACCTTGTTTCTGCTTTCAGCATTCACTCTCTCTTTCCTCTTCTGGTCTGGCGGCTGTGCATCAGTGGGATCCTAGGCATTTGTTTCTGTAAGATTTTCCATTCTGTCCTCTTTTTGGTAGATGGTGGGCTCTTCTAGGATCTCCAGTTTCTCCTCTTTCCTCCTGCTTCATGGGAAAACAGACGTGTGTGTGCCTCCAGCATTTAAAAGGACTGCTGATTTGTTTACTGCAGCAAGGCTTTGGTTTTCAAGTCCCAGGTCTCAACTTTAAGATAGAGGCGGTCATAAGAGGTGTTCTCTGGGAGTTACAGGTCATGGGAAGAGGGTAGACAGGTGTTACTTACAGTCCCAGATACACTAAAGTTACAGACCACCACCAGGACTGTGCCTGAACAATTTTGTATTAAGAGAATAAAAACTTCCTTCAACCTTCATTTTGGAGGCAGGGCCAAGGAAGGGAGCATTCTCTTGATTCTGGGATTTCTCCCTCTCAGTGGAGCCTTATTAATATCCAAGACTTCGAGTTGAGAATCTTTTTGATACCTATAGTGGAACTAAAATTTTATCAGGGGTTTCTTCAAGAGCAGAGAAACATTAGCACTTCCTGCCCCAGGGCCCTACATAATTGCCGTTCTGCTGAATCAGATCTCTTCCACATGGGTACATTTGTAGCTCTGGATCTGTCTCTACCTAAGGACAAGACATTGAGATACTGAACATTTTGCAAAACTGATCACGCCTACTTAAGAGTGTGCATAACCCCCAGTTCAAGACTTAGCTCCTGTTGTCATGATGGGGACAGGGTGAAGGAATGGTTGTTAAGGCTTCTTTTCTGCCCCCAGATACATGGTGATGGTTAGCATATGGTGCTTAAAAGGTTAAAGTTCAAGCAAAGTGCTCACAGGGCTAGGCAGGACCAAAGTACCTGAATTCTTTCAGGAAGGTCTTCCATCTTAAAACAACTTCATTATTCTTTTTCAGTTTTACCCCATCTCTGTTCTACACTGATACACTTGAAGGACCATTTACTGTTTTTTTTCTGTAGCACCAGAGAATCCATCCGAAGTTCCCTATGAAAAACATGTTCCAGTGCCACAGCTGACTACAAATTAAACTTGATGAGGTTTCTGCAGTAGAGTCTGTGTCCTTGAGCTATGGGTGGGTCTATTTTCAGAGCATGATACAAATTCCACAGCCTTCTGTTCAATGGAGGATACTCCAGCCACCAATTCAGAGGGTAGACAGTTCTATCCGAAAAGCAACCACTGAGAGGCCAGCAGTGGGGCTGCCCATCTCCAAAACAAAACAAAAAATCAACTGGTTTGAGTCTAGAAGGACCGGCTGTGGGGTGCTTTGATCACTATGAAAATGCCCACTGGTTTCTATCCATCATATGGTCAAAGTTAGTTCCTGTTTTTTTTTTTTTTTTTGAGATGGAGTTTCACTCTTGTTACCCAGGCTGGAGTGCAATGGCGTGATCTTGGCTCACTGCAACCTCTGCCTCCCGGGTTCAAGCGATTGTCCTGCGTCAGCCTCCTGAGTAGCTGTAATTACAGGTGCCCACCACCACACCCAGCTAATTTTTGGTATTTTTAACAGACCATTTCACCATGTTGGTGAGGCTGGTCTCGAACTCCTAACCGCCGGTGATCCACCCACTTCCACCTCCCAAAGTGCTGGGATTACAGGCATGAGCCACTGTGCCTGGCCATTCCTGTGATTTTTTTAAAAATTAATTTTTACTTGTCGTATAAAGTTGCATTTTGTCATGAGGAAAATATTTTGGCTAAAGCCAAAAAAAGAAAAAAAAAATCAGTTTTCACTTTTCCAGCTTGCCTAGGGAAACATCCTCCCTTGAGCAAAGTGGGATGTGCATGGCTCTTTTGTGATTAAGCAGGCATCAAACGGACAGTTTTCATTTTCAATGACACAGAAACATGTGGCTGAAGCAGGAATAAAATCTTGCCTACTGACTTCTGTCTCCATTCTTGCTCCAGGTAAAATCAGAGAACCTCCCCTTCTTGGCCCTTTAATTCACCCAGGCAAAGGCAGCTTCAGCTCCTCTGTTAAAGGCCCCAGTTTTATTCATTCTACCTGACCTTAGTTTAATACTTTCAAATATGTGATGATTTGGGTAAAAACTATTTTGCAGGCAAAAGTGTTACTTTTATAAATATATATAATAAAAAAGCTATAAAAGTTCTTCCTTTCCTTGTATTTTTCAAATACTCTCCAAGACACAATCCTTGAAGCTGAACTGGCTGGCACTTGATTATGCTAATTGTGGGAGCTACTGAACTATACTGATTAAGTTAAATGCTTGCAGGTGCCTAGGTAATTTTCCTTTGTGTATAACCTGGCTCTACCTGAATTTTTCTCTTAAAATCTCCATTGAGGGTAAACAATGATCTTGATTCTAATTTATATGAGTTTAAAAACCTTTGGATTTCGTATTTTGAATTGTTCTCCCTAGTTTCCTCAATGGTTACCCCCCTTTTTAGTCAGTAACCATCTCTGTTCAGAATTCAGTCTTTGGCTTTTGAAGAAATGGGCACGGGGCAAAAGGACCCATTTCACAGTTCCCTTGGAATATATTTCTCATTGTTGGACTGAGGCAAACAAAACCAACTGTGCAAATCACAAGCAAAAGAGACTTCTGTCCATAGATGGAGTGCCATCAGTATGAGCTTACCAGCTACAAAACCTGTCATAGACTGGGGAACAGCAGGATTCCTTATTGAAACTTAGTTTTCTGAAGTTAGTTAATATCCATGCTGCCTGAAACAAATGTTATGTTTAGCACTTTTAAAATTAACTGCTTAATTCTCCTTTCAGATGCATGCACTAAGTCTTCTCTGAGCCTGCAGCAGTATTTTAAGAGGGACAGGATTCTAAGTCACTGCCTTGACATTCTACTCCAAAAGGCAGTCCAAATTAGAGCCCACAGGCTTTTTCTTAAAAGCTGTTTGTTAGGAAGTAGTAAGAAATTTACCACTATAAGGAAAACATGAAACTATCTGAAAGTCTTCTGGTTCCTAACTGGATACAGATTAGATTATTTTAAATGAAAAAAAAAAAAA